ACATCCACTGGACTCTCTTTTCTCCATTAGCTATGAGTCTCCATAGCAACAGCTCATCTCCTTTCAGTCTACTCTTACTCTCTCGCTACAGTGGTCTTTCTACGATTCTTCGGTGGCCTCCCTCTGACCTCCAAAGGACCTCTGGATAGTCCTTAACATGGCCTTCAAGGCTCTCCCTGGTCTGTGTCTCCCTTCTCTCTCAGGCTAGTCAGTAAATCTCCCCATGTCTCACCTACCCACTCCCACATCAGAATGCTTCAAGAGTTGGGGTCGATAGGTGGCATGGTGGTTAAGGTGCTGGACTCCCAACATGGCTGACTGTGGTTCAAATCCTGGACCTGGAGACTTGCTTTCTTGCTTTCCCTTAATCTCTCTCTCTGGTCAAATTAAGAAAAAAAAATTACTAAACCCAAACAAAATTAAATACAAAAATAATTCCTAAATAAAAAAAGAATACTCCCAAGAGTTTACTCCTCTCCATCAGATGAAGAACTTTCTGCTAGGTCGCTGTGTGGCAGTCTGCTCAGCAGGTCCTTTGTCACCAGTCTGAGAGGTGATGCCTCTGCAGCTACCAGGAGAGGGAGAGACGGGCAGCACTAGGCCACTACTGCTCTCTCCCACTGCCCCTCAGTGGTGGGGCTTCCTTGGCAGTGGGGCGGGCTACCTTGCAGAAAACTTAACTGTTCTACTGACAGCAGAGTCTCAGAGAAGTCAGTATGATTTCTGATATAACCAAATCCCATGCTAAAGGCCAAGAAAAATAGTGTTTGGTGGGGTCAGCAGGTGGCACAGTGGTGAGGGAGCTAGATTTTCACATGCTGACAATGGTTCAAGTCCTAGACCCAGTGGTTTGAAAATCACAGTGCCCGTGTGTGTGTGTGTGCCCAAAATCCCATGGAGAGAATATAGAAGGGACTGCAATGTGACCATTCCCCCAGAATGTGATTTCTCACTTTCCCTTTGTCCCTCTGTCGAGTTCACATGCCCTATGCCAAAAACCAAAAA